AAAATTATTTATTATAATAGAACGAAAAATAAATAACAGATATACTCCTTACATTAGTTCAGGCTTGAACGAAAGGTATGAAATTTTATTAAATTGATGAATTTAATTTATTTCATTATTTTAAATGAATTATATAATACAACAAGGAGTATACAAGATCATTTGGAAATGGCAGAGGATGTATGCAAGCATTACATTCCAAAACCTGCAGTGAGTTTTCATCTCTGGAACCGGCTTTCAAAAGCAGACTGGGTTGCTCTTCGAAAGAAGAATACTGGAATCAAATTTAGGGATGGGTTTATTAAGCATGCACGATATCCTTCATCTTATAAACCCTGTTATAATAACCTATATTAACAATATGCAATTGAACGATTAGAAAGAGATGACCAAAGATATGAAAAAGTGTATGTTTATTATTATTAATAATATTATTATTGTTATTATTATTGAAATATTTATTTGAAAATTTTTTAAATTTATTTATTTATTAGTGAATGGGAGGCTATAGGAGCCAAACGATCTGTATTCTCCAACCCTAAATTGAATTCCAGTGAACATTTAGAAAATTGCAGAACTCGCTTGAATTTTGGAAACTCAAGAAACATAACCACTCCAAACTGAAGAAGTAGAGACATGAATTTGCAGTATCAAGTTTTTTTATATATTTGATTTATTATAAAATTATAAAATCAAGATCAATATCACTAACCTTACTGACATAAATTTATTTTAAAAAGATATTAATTATCTACTAACATGTTCATATTTTTCAGTAAAAGATTGATAGTACCAGCTAGGTAAATTTCCATTATGTTCACTTCATGAGAATTTACTAATTCTCTTTCACAATTTCTATTTTATAGGATTTTAACAACCAACGATATATGAAATTAAATATTATGAGGCAAATGATGAATTATTTATGATGTATAATGATCTTTATTGAGATCTTTATTCTGATGCTTCAAACTTTTTTGAAATTATAAAAGCAATTAAATTTGACAATTTTTTGAATTTTTTCAAATCTATCTAAGGTTGATAAAAAACTAATTCTTCCTCGAAGAATTAAATGAAATTCATTTTACATTTTATTATTTTATAATTAAAATCATAATTTATTATGTTACGAACAATCAAAAATTTCAATTAGTTATAATATTTATAACTAGGAGAAAATAAAAATTGACTCAATAGATATTTTATTTACAATCTGAGTTCATATAATATAAGTGTAAGAGATACAATGTCTTCATATTAACCCTTTTGATATATGGAAAACCAATTATTGTTCATCAGAGGACTCCATTGTTATGTAATATTTATTCTTTTCATTTTTTTTGTTTTTTCAGATTTATAAAGCTGGAAGATGCTGGTTCTTCATCCTTTCAACCTTTATTTGTAAATTAAATGCCTTTCATTGGGGCAGTCTTAAGATATATGATTATAAATATCTTTGTGATAACAACTTTACCTCCAGCATCATATATTTTTTATTTAAAAATTATAAGATGGTGGGTTAACTAAAAGAAAAATATATTTGGGTCCATTATTTTCAAGCAGCTGTGGCGTGGTTTATACAATTATTGCTTTTCGAAAACCGTATTAGTGTCTTTTGAGTTCATTTTTTTGTATATTAATGACTTATATTACATTAATTGATGTAAAAGCATTGAAAAAGGTTGAAGACATGTTTAAATAAATAAAATGAACTATTTAAGATTATTAAATGGTTTAATTTCATTATAATGACACATAGATACAGGCCAATCATATGATAGTTTATAAATTTTTTTTCAAATATATACATACATACTATATTATAATTATATTGCAAATAATGTACATATAAGATTATATTGATCGTATATATGTACAATATTATATATTTATCATGCCATGCTATTTAATATGTAATTAATGAATAATTAATTATTCATTATGAATAATCAATGTACATTTATTGCTCAATAACGAATGGAATGACAATTAATGTGCAATTGGTGAATAATTAATAATATCAAACAAGCTATCCGGATAAATTTACAACTTCCATGACTGAATCAATTTCCTTTAGATTTCTCAGTCACAGCCTTATTATACCAAGACTAGTATCGTAGATTTTGATGTATTGTATAATCATTACATTAGTAATTAATTTTGAGTTTGTCATCGCATTTAACAGATGGTTCTTTGAATATTTAAATTTATATCCCTTTCTACTCCTTGATACATTTTATTCCGAAATTTAAACGTGTAGACCATTACAAACATATGAATCATTGATAATTTTATAAACAAAGATATTAACTATTACGGTACTTTTATTAATTTAATTCAAAAAAATAAACAGGTAGCTAATTTAATATATGAATTATAATATTATTTGCATTATTATCAAAGATATTATTTATTATATTTTGCAAAGTTTATTAAATGTGGAGGAGAAGATGCAAAACATGCTATGTATCTTAGAAATTAACACCTGAAGGTGGATCTTGTGATTCAAATCAAATGATACGGAAATCTTTATGTCATGTTGTAGTCACATGTTCAGTTAATGATTACGCAACATCAATCTAGCAAATTACTCGATCTACATCTTCTCATAATCTCGTCTCGTACTATCATACTCCTTGTATCAATCTTATTTTCCCTATATTAAACCTATTTCACTCAAAATCTTAAAATATTTCTTGGAAAAAAGAATTTAACTGTAAGTAAATTAAAGTTCACTTTAATAAGTCTTTATATTTGTAGTAATCTATCTAAGTATATTTATGAATTTTTTTTGCATTGATACTTTTTTTTTGACTTTTTGTGGTTTCCTAACTCTCTTTGACACTCTTTAATGCATTTTTACACATCAATCCAACTTTATCTTATTATGTACATATTTTTTTGTTTCTTAGAATAATGATGTACCTGAAGAACAACCCAAAAGAAGTTGGATTCATGGTTTAAAGAAAAAAATGATCTCAAAAATTCATCCTCAAGTTCAACAACAACCATTATCAACATCGTCATCACCAACTTCAATACCTGAATCACCAATGAGAAAAATATTGCATCATTATGCAACCAAATTTAAGATCAACTGTGCCAGATATTATAGGAACGAGAGACTGGTTGTAAAATATTGCACCGAATATCTTGATAAATTTCCTTCAAGTTATTCGACTTTGTGCATAAGAGCCGAAACTTTTGGTGAATTAAAAAGATATGAAGAAGCTCTTAATGATTTAAATCATGCGATTATGATTAAGCATCATAAGCCAACTGCATGGTGTTTACGTGGAATTATAAAAGGCTTAAATAAATCTTATATGGAAGCAGTAGAAGATTTAAATCATGCATTATATAGAGTAAAAATGATTTCCTAGCCTTAAAGTGGAGAGCTTTTTGTTATTATGAAATGCATCTGTACAATCACGCTCTTTGGGATCTTAATTTAATTTTTAATAGTGGTTGTGCAGATGCATTTACTCATTTAAGCCGAGCAGACATCAACAGAATATTAAAAAAGTTCATGGAAGCAACTGAGGATATTAAAAAAGCATTTGATTTCGAAAATATCAATAAAGCTCTTGCATATGGAATTCGTGGAGAACTTAATTTGGATCGTGAAGAATTCCAAGATGCCATCAATGATTTGAATAAGGTATGTTACAACATTCACTTATATTTGATTAAAATGTTTTTATTAATAAATATTTTATAATAAATATTTTACAGGCATTGAAATTACAACCTAACAATGCAAAGGCTCTTAAAAATCGCTGTGAATGCCATAAAGTATTAATGGATCCAGAGAACGCACTCAAAGATCTGGATGAACTATGCAATCTAGAACCTGAAAACGAATACCAATTTGAATTAAGAGGTGCAATCTTACTAGATATGCAAAAATGGAACGATTCGCTAATAAATCTTAATCAAGCGATCAAATCACAGCCCAATAATGTTGCAACAATTAGTAATAGGGCCAAATTATATTGTAAATTTCGTCAATATGGTTTGGCGCTAAAGGATACTCATGAAGGAACGATAATCGATCCAAGAAATCTGGTTATCCGACAACAAACAATGGACCTCTATCGTCGAAATCACCAATACGGTGCGGCACTTGGTGAAGCTGAAGTCGCATTAAGTATAGATCCCAAAAATATAAACACATTATTAATAAGGGCCGATATATATTTCTTGATGAGAAAATATGATACCTCACTTATGGACTTAAATGAGGCAATTAGAATTGCACCTAGAAATTCTTTTGTCTTGATTGCACAAAGTGAATTATTTTGCAAGAAAAAATATTACATAGGTGCTTTAAATTATGTGCAATGTGCTCTTAGAATAAAATCAGCGAATCATTATGCCTTGGAAGTCCGTGGGAATATCTATAGAAAGCAACGTGAATACGAGAAAGCACTCGTTGATTTTAATAAATCATTAGAATTATGTCCTTCAGATATGATTCTTGAACATAATCAAAATCAAGGGGATGATATAATTGAAGGAAGCAACGATGGAGGTGGCAAAGATGGCATAAATGAAGATGATAAAGATGGCGGTGGTGGTAAAGTTGGCATTAATGAAAGTGGTAAAGATGGAGTTTGTAGAAACAATGTTGGGTACGATAAAGGATTTGCAGTCACTCAACAAATTATGGGGAAAGAAACTTTTCTAGTATTTATTATCGACGAGGTGATACATATTGTAAATTAGGCATGTATGAATTAGCACTTGAAGATTTTAATCGTGCATTAGAATTAGCAAATGGATATTTTCCTATCCACAAGAAACGAGCATATGTGCTAAGCAAATTAGAAAGATTAGATGATACCCCGATTATGACAAATGATATATAAGAATTTAATTTAGTTTAGTTATATCGGCACTTTCTTTTTTTCTATGTATTTTTTTTTTGTTTGTCATTCATTTATCAAATAAAATTTATAAAATTTGCTATTGTACTAAGAAATTTAACATAGTTTGATTAATCAATTTTCTAGATTCAAACATTAAATTTGATTATTATATTGATATTCTTATATTTGTTACTTTGCTAATTAATTAATACATTATTAATAGAATTGTTAATTTATTGACATTTTTATATTAATTTTTTTGTTGGCTGTTCAATATTTATTGATTGGTAACTATTAATAAATTTAATTATTGTAGTGGAGAGAGATAAAGTGATAAAACTTATTAACCAATAAAATTTGCAAAATCCTGATCTCATGTGATGCGACACTTAATCAATTAACCAATAAAATCATATTTCAATATCATGTGAAACTTTAATTCCCCTTAAAAATAACAACAAACAAGCTCTGGACATGTACCAGATCCTGATTGCCCAGTAAATTAATTTTTACAAAAATATAAAAAGAATAAAGTTTTTGTGAGATTTAATAAATTTAACAAATTACATATTCATAATGTAATAATAATTCATTATAAAAGAAAAAAGAAAATTAATTTTTTATGGCAATCATGCATGATTCATCAAAAACACGATTAGACCTAATTTTTGATAATAATTCTTATTGGTTAAACAAATAAATTGTTGAATAATAAAGTTTAATTATAAATAAATTTGATGATAATAATAATAATTGTCAATTGATGCAATAATGATATGATAATAATTATTCTATTTTGTTTTTAGTATACTTTAAAGTTGATCTGTTTCACAAATTTTTCAGAATCTAGTAATTATATTTTTAATTCTAATTGGGCAAATTGAAAAAATTCTAGAATAGTAATTAATATATTCTTTATGTTTAATTCATTTAGATTGAACCTTCATACTTTCAAGAAACTGTAAGTGACTTTTATCCAAAATCTACTTTATAAATTAACAAATATTTTTTGATATACAAACTTAAATAAATAGCAATTGATTTTTTAAAAACAAAACAATAAATTTATTTATTTTAGTTAGTTGGATTTTTACGTGGTTGAAATTAGACAAATTCTTATTTGATTTCTTGTAATGAATGTAAAAGTTTTTTTTTTTGTTTAATGAATGATATTAAAATTTGATAATATTTCTGCAGTCACATCCATATAGAATAAATTTTAAATTTTATTCATTGTTGACCTGATACCATTATTTTTTATCTCATTCATTGATAAAAATAAATTTAAGAAAAATTTTGTGATGGGATTAAAAGACTTAAATGTAAAAATATTAAAAATATGTTAAATAAAATAACAAGACAAATCTTTTTTATTAACAACAAAAGAAAATTAATGCAAGCATAATGTACACTATCCTGAGAAGTGGCAGCAAGCATGCAGTAATCTATAAATAGCAAGCCAATCATTAAAAACAATACTTTCAGCTAATATTATTAGAATAAGAGCTAATATATTACAATAATTTTTTTTAGAAAATGATTGACTTTAACTGAAGCCTTTTATGAAAAAAATTTATGGATTGGGTAAGGGTTTTTTATTTTGATATTAGACCCTAAAACTATGCAAATATGATTTAAAACCCTGAGAAGTACTGGTCGAAATTATAAAAACAAAGATGGAATTGATTATTTATGTGATAAAAGAAAACTAAATTACTGTAATATTTGCAATTTCAAACTACTGTAAATCTTTTGCAAAACAATATTATAGAGTTTTGGTGACTTGTATTATTGGTTGTTATGCTTTTAAACAAAACAAATCTTGAAAATATTTTGTTTTTATCCCATCTATCAATTTATGGTTGTTTATGAGCATTTCATATTTAAGACATGAAAGGCTTCACCATTAACTTCTTTGAGCTGTTAAGGTGTTTATGTGATTATCAATGTTGTTTAAACTGTTGGAAGATCAGATGAAGGAACAACAGAGGAATTTGCTGACATAGCTTTTGCAATTAAAAAAATAAAAATAGTAGCACAAATAATAATTTGTTGATCTGATTTTTATTATTTAGGAAATCAGAGTAGAAAAATCCACTTCTAAATAAATAAAGATGAAAAAAAGACATCAGTCATTTTCTTTTATTTTCAATTTATAAATGACGAGACAAGGTTGATGGCAGGCTGTCTATTTCTTCATTATAGATAAGATCAAATGACTTTGGTAAAGAGTATAGTAATGCTTTTGATTTAATTTGAACTAGCCATTTCTTTAGAGTTTACTTTATTTTTTATGATTAATTGTGAGATTCTTGATAATTATATGTCACAAGAATTTGTGTATCTAATCTTATATGAAATATAATATGAGCTATAATATCAATTGATTCTCGATTTTTTTTGATTAAATACTATAATCTTTTTAAATATATATTTAAACTCTACATTATATATCTGATAAAACTTTATGAAATCAATTTAGGCATGGTGAAGATTAATGATAAATAGTTAAAATCAATTCCTAGATGAATGTTCCTAAAAGTATGACTGAAACCAATCTTAATAATGAAGCATTTATCAGGATGCATCAAATTCAAGTATATCTCTTTTTCTTTTATAAATTATTAGTGTTTATATTAAATTATCTATCATACCATCTTTGGCAATATAATTTACATAATCCCTCTTATGTCAAAGCCTTTACTATAAAAAGTTATTGTCTTTTTTTGTTACAAGACATAAATATTGGGAAAGATTTTTTATTATACTATATGTTCATTTTGAAGAATTGCTATTTCAATTTTCAGTAATTATAATTAGTATGAGTACATATTTCATTACATGATACATTGAGAGCATTAAAATTAATATTTTGATAGAGTAGATGAGAATTTGTTTGATTTTGAAAGGTTTATCTATAAAAGTATCACTAGAGGGCTTAATGTCTCATAACTAAGACAAAATAAAAACTTGTGCTTATGTTTCCATTTAAACTATCTATAAAAATTTAATAAGTAAAAATAATTGATAATTGCATTGAAATATAATAGATGATTTAATTATTTATAAATTTGAAATTTTTTTTTGTTAAAATGTCAAAATATTCATATTAATATGATTATATCCATTACTATTGAGACAATTTATCAATTAGATAAATAATAATTTAAAATACACAGGTCAAATACAAAATATATGCCATACTGAAAAAGAATTCTGATTTTAGCTGATTTATAATATAGGATGCAATAGGATAGCTAATATATAGTATAGGAATTACCATTTGGTACAGTGATTCTTTTGTGATAGATAGAATTAGATTTCATGAAGTTGTGATATTATATGATTTATAACTATCATATTGATTGCTAAGTTGTTATTTGAAGAATTCCATAATTCAAAGGATCACATTTTTGTGCAACCATAATTAATATTACATGTTACATTTCAAAAGTTTCTCTAATTTATAAATTTTATATCTATCACTTCACCTTTATTTATACTTATAGATATTGATAATAATAAATATAAGATTTTAAGTATTTTTTACTTGTTACAAATTTGTTTTGATCATTTTAAGTTCATTTTTTGTAATGAATTAAGGATTAAAAGAATCCTTTTTTTTATGAATCATTTGTTTTATTAATTTTTTTATGTTGTCCTTTAAATGCATACCTTCTTTCCTCAGAATTGGCCTTCTTAATAAGATCATAAAGATATTAGTTTCATATAAGCATTATATTATTATTTTTCTATCATTACAGTATTTTTATTTTAATGTAATTTTAAAGTAAGGTAAAAATGATCATTCAATGAACTATATTAATAATAATATCATATTCATAATAATATTATACAAAAATGTAAAATGATAGAATTTTGGGAACTAATAATACAATATTTCAGAATTTTTCAAATAAATTTCAGGCAACTTAATTTTTGCTTTCAATCAGCAAATAACCCAGTTATCGTTATATGAGACAGAACTCCATGCCAGCATCTTTCATTGCATTGTCATATAGAAAATATGTTCATTTTACTTATCCTTTATGGATTTCTCTTTAACCTAGTTCTAAAAGCATTGATTCATTGTTTTCTTGTGAAAAAAATTTCATCTTATCTTAAAATCTTGTTTGTTTTATTGAACATGTAAATAAAAAGACTATGAAAAATTATCAGATGAATTGGATAAATTTCTCAAAATATTCTTTAAAATGGTTCCAAATATATTTATAGTACTTCTTCAAGTGAAAGCAAAGCATTACTTAGATAATATAAATGCAATTTTATAGTTTGGCTTGACTATTTTCAATTAAGAAATTATTCATTAAATAGCTCTATTAATTAATTTTGTGAATTTTATCAAATAACACATTTTCAACAAAAATATAATTCTCTTTTAATTGTAAATTTTCATAAATTTATGAAAGATTGACTTCGGATAGAAAAATAATTGCAATCAACTAGTAGAACAAATAGATTATGGAATAAAGAAGATAGTTATATGTGCTAAATATTGGTGATCTCAGGTTATTACTTTTTATTTATATGCTTTAAGATTCAATTTAAATAATTTTTTTTAAAAGTAATTACTATATGATCAATTCATAAAATAACAAAATCCAGATCAATAAATTTCTGTTTTTATCTCATAAAAGACAAAATATATATAAGTTATATTGAAATGACCTAGAAATCTACATGTTCTATATTTTTATCTCATGTACTTCTTGATAGATATAATATACAGGTGATGCTTTTTTCATCTTGTGACATAATATACCTTAATGACTAAATTTTATATACTATATATGAGAACTCATTTTTTTAGCTATATAAATTATTTTTATTATTACAGTAATAAACAAGAAATGAAAATATTTTAAGTTTTATTAGTTAATATTTATATTAATTTATATAAGTTTCCCAGCATTAGCTTTGAATAAAAGTTATTTTTTAAGAAATTATTGCATAATATTATTATATAAAAGATCTATATA